TTAGTTAGGATCTTACTGCTTTTGCGGCTTGGAAGTATATCCATTTTCTTGTTCTCTATGGAATAAATAGAGACAGAGAGACAAAATCTAAACTACAGTGAAATGGACTGTTCTCTTCCATCAAAAACAGAGAAGATGTCAGAAATCTCTTAAGTTTATTTCTGAGTTTAAGGAAAAGCTCTTATAGGATCAAGAATACTAATTATTCAGCTCCTCTTGGACTACCAAGACCTCTACAACAGAAAAAGGAGGTCCAAGGCTAAACTAGAAATCTTTCAGAATAAGGTACCCAGGAATAACATACTTCTTTTTCCCCTTGCATTTTTTACATGTCTGATGCTCCTGCTGTTTTCGAGTTGATTTCTGTCTATTCAAGGAAACAGTAACAGATAACATATTTAAGACTCAAGTCTTTCAGAGCTCACCTGTTACTGACATATAAGTAATTGCAACTGAAATCGTAATAGGGCTTAAAAAAACTGCACACAACTCTGGAGGATGCTTTAAAATGTATTCAAAAAGTATATATCTTCCAGACATACCCGACTGAGAGCTCTGTGTTCTATACGGCTTCTCATAAATGTTTACACTAATACTATTGTGTGTTTGGGATCTGATGCATCTAGAGGAAATACTTTATTAAAAAAATTAAATAAAGTGTCACGCAAGATAAGAAGGGTCATGATGATTGGAGACAGACTAATTTTTTAATGAAAGAGACTCCTGACTGTGCTCCAAGGTAGTGAAGTGCATTCCTCAATGTTTTATGATATAAACGCCATGCATAATTTTACTGGAGCCTTAAACCTGCAGTACTAACAGCAAGTCTGTTCCAAGTAGATACGTGGGTTCTCTTTCAATCTTTTTGTCTTCCAAGAACTCATCCAAGGGAGAAAGCCTTGGGAAACACTATTGTCCTTTTAAGTTTAAAGGGTGAATGAAGAATCTTCTGATTAGAGCATAGTGTTTGGAGTTGCAAACAGGCCCCTTTTGTGATTGTGCCAAAATTCCATACAGCCAACTTCTGAATTTCCTGGAAAATCAGGAGTTGGGTAATGCATATAATGCAAACATATAGATAATATGTAAGTGAAGCTATAAGAATCCTCCTTAAAAACAAATGGAGGTGGCCACACGTGGAAGGGGAGGCCGCAGTACGAGTGGCAAGTGCTGTATGACACCATGGTCTCAGAAATGGCCATATCTCAGTGTGCCACTAAACACAGCACAGCTCAAGGTGCTGGGTACTGGGAATGCAAATTTCAGGGTTCCTCAGTCAGTCTGGGGACCCACAAGGTGATTCATTTACTTAGACTTTCAGACTGGAAGCCCTGGGCAGCTTAAAAGCAAGAAGGCTGTCAAAGGCCCCTTTTGCTTTTTGCCAGAAGGAAATCCACACACCAAGGTTGCTCTGAGGCTATGGGTCCTGGGAAGCTCTGTATATGTCAGATGGAAGCATAATATATCTTATGCTCAGTTTGGGGCTTTCATTGAACCCAGGCTTTTCTGTGAAAAGAGCATTTTCTAATTTTTGACAGAAAGTTCTCAGGCAGGTGTAACTTGCAGCCTTCCTTCAGCAGCTGCACTTTAGTCTCTTCTGCACCTGACGATATGGGTCAGCATTTCCTATGTGGGGTGATCCATTTTTTCCATATATTCTTTTCTGCTAACACTCAAAATAGAAGCAAAAGAAAAAAAGAGCCTGGAAACATAAGGGTTAATACTGTGAGGTCTGTGGGTGCAAACAGGGCTCTGTTAAAAATGAGATGAAATTGGGTGGAGGTAGATAAAAAGAAATCTGAAATAATTGTTCTGCAGAATACTGCCTTTCCACATAGGGAGAAATCTTTCTCTTCACTTCTGTCTGAAGAGAGAGTCAAATAGAGAATCTCATCTCTTAATTAGAAAGAAAAATACTCATCAAACACATCTCATCACTGGAAAGCTAATGATCCACAGCTGCTAGTCTGAAAGGGCAGGCTTTTTTTCTGAACAGTAGGAAGTGTTAATCATTTTGGATGAGATTTCTTTTTAAAATATACTGTAGTTTGCAAAAGAATAGGATATTCAATATTCCAACTTAAATTATTTTTTGAAGTGTTGTACACCAGGGATAGTGTCATATGTCTCGCTGAATGATCATTTAATGCATGTGTCTCTCACTAAGAGTATCAACTGATGTGATGATGTAAATGGCCAGTTCATGCCTGTGACTCTTAAAATCTTAATCTCACGGGGAAGAAGAAGGAAAAAAACAGTCCTCTCTTATAGTCTGCTGTGTAGGAAATGGCAGCTATAATAAACCGTAACCTTTGAGACTCCCACTCCTCCCTTAAAATAGTTGGCTTGTTTCAGTAGTGATGAGGATCCTTTTTTAGACTGAGTAGAGCCATTATGTCTTTCAAAGAGATCCTACCGGATACCATGTATGTGCCACTTGATGCTCTATAGGCACGGGCAGCTCCCCAACTTGACCTTTTATACCTGTGCCCCTGTGCTTTCCTAGCTCTGCTCTTTCTCCCTGTACTTGCTTAGGGGATGGATGGGAAGCTTTCCCTCCCCTTCGTGGATGGAATAAAGTGGACAGAATAGATTCAGACATACAGCTTCCCCTCATCCCTCTCCCCCTGGCTCCAAGATCCTTTGTGCATAAGAAGTGAGCCCCAGGATTTTCTTGCCTTTCTATGCAAGTTTTGGGGGCTGCTGTGTTTACTTAAAAGTCCTTGCCTAATACCGGGCGTCTGTCTGTTGTCTCCCTTGTGTGTTTGCGCGAGCGCATTTTGCTTCTGGGGGAGAGAGGGAGGCAATTTCCCCGTGCTGGTTTCACACAGCATACAGCTCATTTGTGTTGCAAATACCCAGGCCTTGCTTCCTTCGTGCCTGCCTGATACAGGTGCCTGAAAGAAAGAACCAGTTAAAAGTCAGCCAGGCTAGATGGAAAGGAAGCTGGCAGGTCAGAAAAACCATTGAAAGGAGACGGCAGGTATATTGCCCACTTTTTCAAAAGTCACATCCCTGCAAGTCTTAAAGAGGATTAAAGAACTTCTGTGAATTCAAGCTTTTTAGACTACAATTTTGGGATCTTTTTTAATAGCTTGTCCTCTTAGATAATCAATTTTCTCTCATACTCCTGAGATCTTTATCTTTCAAATAATATTAACTGTTAACAGTTCCAGTATCCTCTTAGGTATGTTATACAAACTGCTATTTCAGTTCTTTAAGTATTCATCGCATTTGTCTTGCAGTCTCACAAGACTTTCAGAAGCAAAGCATTTAGTTGTAGAAAGTAGGGAAAGGAAGGTAGGTTAGCTGATCTTGAGACAGATGTTTGCTTAAAATACTGTCGTGGTTGGTCTTTTTTCTTTTTGCATGGATGTTTGTATTTGCTAAGAGTATTTTGTTTCGACTTTAAACAGAAATCCTCACAACTGAAGATTATCAAAATCCCCATTTTGTTCTTATTCAAATTTTTATCCATCTAGATAATTGGTTTTGGCAAAATGAGTCATTTTTTAGTTTGTTTAGTTATTGGTTTTGCTTTAGGTTTGATAGTTCTGTGACATAACACCTTCATTAATTTTACTAGGTTATGAAAACAAAACTATTCAAAAGCTTAAGTCATAGGATTTGAATGAAAATGGCCTAGCAGGATTTCTGAAGAGTAGGCGTATATCCAGCTGTGGTAAATAGTGTAATTTGCCATAATACTTTCATTTTTGACTTTCCTCATGTGTGAGGGGAATAAACCAAGTTATAATGTGACTAGAACTGGGTAAAATACAGGTGGTCTCGTTCATAGGGAAAATTGCATATGAAAATTGTTTCAGTTTAAATCCATCTAGCTCCAAATATTTTTTCCCTAAAAAAAAAAAAAAAAAAAAAGATAGTTTCGTTCCAGAATCACCAGGGGACAGTATCTCCCTGAAAGTATCTCCACTAGGCAGCTGTGAACTCTGATAAATATTTACAACTTTCAGATGCCAGAAGGTAGCTCTGATAGCCCAGCTATTAAGTTAGCTACTAGCCATGAACTTGGACAAATATTTCCAACTTTCGGATGTTAGAAAGTAGCTCTGATAGGTTGAGCTATCAGGCTAGCTCCTAGTCTAGGTTGCTCTGACCAGCTGCAGACAGAAGTCCACAGTATTAAGCTTTCCACAGCTCCATGGCATGGAGCAGTGATGTCTGCAGTGAAGACTGGTTGTTGCTGGGCCATGATCTCTCTGCTTTCAAGGGCCTAGGGAGCTAGGTCTAGGGAACTGTCCCGGGATATTCAGTCAGCTCACACTTATGTCAGCATCCAAACATGGGTCAAAGTCTACTCGACATATTTTGAAGAACCACAGATTTTAAAAACCAAAGTTTTCAAAGGTATGAACTTAAAGGGCTTCTTATCGTTTCATCCCACCCCGTTTTCTATGCCTCTACGGTCATTACAGTGTTACTGTGATTTAATTCAAATATTTGTATTTTTGTGTGTGTTTTAGTATGACTTTTTGAGTCTTCTGTACAAATGAACCTTTTGTATTGTCATTGTAATGTTTACATTCACATCTGTTCATCTCATTACTAAAAGTTGTTTGAACAACAAATAATTTTATGCATAGAAATAAACCAGCCTTTATCACATTGTAATCTTATTTTTATGCTTCTTTGCATTATTTTGTCCAAGGTAATTGTTCTTCAGCAAAATAACATTTAATGTTAAACATTATTGTCTTACATTATGCTATATCAGCTTTTCTTTCATAAGATTTAAGGTACAAAGGAAATAAAAAGTGTAGCAATATTTTTTTACAGACATGAGTGGCTGGTCAGTAAAATAGTAAAAAATATATATATGTATATATATGTATATATATATCTTGTTGTCCACCTCAAGGAGGGAGAATTTTGTTTAGGACAGTTTTAATTCATTCATTGATCTTAACTCATTGGTCTTAACTGTGTATAAGAGTTAATGTAGTGTTGAATCACTTCTTTCCTCTGTTTTCTTCCAGCTGTTTCTTTTCGTTGTTTGGAACTTCGAGCTCTACATGATCCCACTGGTGTTCTTGCTGCTGTTGGCATGGAACTACTTCTTGATCGTATCAGGGAAAGACAACAGGCAACACGATACAGTAAGTCTTTTCTACTTCAAGCACACGCATATCCTTTTCCTTTTTAACTAACACAGAGATTAAATTTTATAACTGAGTTTAATAATGACATCTTTTCAAAAACATTGCAATTTGCGATGCTTGGTGGACAGTTTTCCCACATGCAATTCAGTTTTTCTCCAGCTGTCCAATGAATGTGTCTAGTTTTACAGAAAATGTCATTTAAAATATAGTAGGACATATACTATCCTCAGAATCTGATTTGTGTGGGCATAGGCATGAGAGGCTTAGTGGTCAAGAGAAGACAAGTTCTTTGAAAATGTCCATATCACTTTTTCATTCATTTACTGCAGTTAAAGGTTAAGGTGATTCCCAGTTATTAATAATTTCAAAATGTATCACATTGGTTTTATCATTTTTTCAGTATCATGGAAAACATTCAGTATCATGTAAAACATATGCTGGAGAGAGCCCAGCGCAGGGCTACGAGGATGATCAGGGGCCTGGAACATCTGCCCTATGAGGAAAGGCTGAGGGAGCTGGGCCTGTTCAGCCTGGAGAAGAGAAGGCTGAGGGGGGACCTGATCAGTGTCTATAAATACCTCAAGGGGGGCAGTGAGGAGGAGGGGGCGGCCTCTTTTCAGTGGTGGCCAGCGATAGGACTAGAGGAAACGGCCACAAGCTGAGGCACCAAAAGTTCCACAGGAACTTGAGGAAACACTTTTTGACAGTGAGGGTGACAGAGCCCTGGCACAGGCTGCCCAGAGAGGCTGTGGAGTCTCCTCCTTTGGAGATCTTTAAAACCCGCTTGGACGCAGCCCTGTGCCACGTGCTCTAGGTGACCCTGCGTGAGCAGGGGGGTTGGACTCGATGACCTCTGAGGTCCCTTCCAACCTTAAGCAATCTATGATTCTCTGATTCTGTGATTCAGTAATATAAGCCTTTCTTCTCTCCATTTAATGCATTTAAATAAATGCATGTAGTTTGGATATAAAGGAACAAGCATTACTAATAACAGACATTTACTAATAGTGAAAGCATGGTTCAGACTAGCAGAAGTATGCATCAAAAGGTGAGGTTGTATTCTCTGCTATGTAAATTTTACAGTATCCAGGCAGCTTAAGTGTTTTGCATGTGTATTATCTTAGAGCCTTATGAATTTGATATTAGATTCAGTATTCATATGTCAAGAACAGTGTGCTCTCTAGGACATTATGATCTGCATGGATAGCTGGATGAGGGGAAGAGTGTTTGGATGGCTGTAGTGGTAGTAGGGTTAATGGATCCTACTCTACCTTTGTGTTGACAACAAATGGAGTACTACAGTGGTCTGTTCTGGGACATCTCCCATTTGAGATATTTATTAATGATCTGTAGGAGGTGATAGGGTGCATTCTGTCATGTTTGCAGATGATAGCAAATGGGGACAGGATGCACTACAGCTGATATACTGGGAAAGAAAAGAACTACATAGTTCAGGAGGACCTAAACAAGCTGGAGGAACAACCCAACAACAACCTCATGCAATTCAACAAGGACAATTGCTGAGTCCTGCAGTTTGAATGCTACAATCTCGAGACTGACTATCTGGGCAGCAGCTTTGCATGAAAGGGAACTAGACATCTTGATAGACAAGAACATGAATGGGAGCCAACAGTGTGTCCTGATGCAGCTCTGATCCTGGCCCTAGTATTACTTGTTCCCATCAGTAAGATTGTTTTAACTCCTGGAATCATTTAAAATTAAGGATGAGGAGGCTAGAGATATTCTCAAAGGTTAACCCCCAAGACTATTAAATTCATGGGGAAAAGTCTAAAATTTGCAATCAAGATTTAGAAGATACATTTCTTAACTCATAGCCTTTAGCCTCTGAAGCTCTTGAAACTTTTCAGCCTGCAGGTTTTGTGGGTAACTAAAATCCCTTGTGAAAGGTGAGCTTTCACTTGTGAGGTGTGGTGTACTTTATTTCTCTCCAAAATACCACCTGCATGTAAAGATTAATTGGGTCAGGCAACTTTTCTAACAAAATAATGAAATTATTGATGGGCTGTCTGGTGAGGACACTGAATGCTCCTCTAAAAATATTTCTCTTGCTAGAGTAGTTTCAGATCAAATTCAATGCAGCTTTTGTCAACCAGTAGAGTTCTTCTCTTTTTTGTTTTTGTATTTGTGCTGCTAGTGGCACTTTTTTTGTTTATAAGAATTACATTGGGGGATCTTTTTTAATGAATTGAGCTTAGTTACCTCATTCTTAAGGAACTGAACTTGGTTATCATCATGGTTAGCATGCAGTATGATGTGATCCACAGACTTGCTGGAAGATTCTATAATTAACTCGTAAATCTTTACTTATATCACATGTCCTTAGCTCAGGTCATTAACACAGTATCATTAGATTAGGAGTCATTTAGAGTATTCAGTTTTCCTATGTGGAGTGTAAATATTAAGTAAATTAATTAAGCTGTGCTTTCCAGTGGCTAGAGATTGCCTGAGAATTCAGATGATCTACAATCTATTTCTCGGTCCCCGGAGATTCCTTGTGTGCCTTACTAAAATCATTGACTACTAAGTTAGGTGTATTGTCTATCTTAGAAGGTGCTTTGAAATCCTCAAGGTATTGATAAGGCAAAAAGATAAATACATTCAGATTTGGGTTCTTTTTTATTTTCACTTGGTTAACATGAGACAAACATAATTAAAAACTGTGTGCACTTTAGACTTTCCTCATAAGCATGGAAAATACTTAAATTTCTAATCTCAAAAAGTAGTTTGGAGGAGTTCTTTTCCATTATAATAAGCCTACTAGATAACATATCAATCGTCTAATCAACTGAGACATTAGAGACTGTACTCTTCCGCAGATCAATTAAATCATTCACTAAATTTCTGTCTGGATATGACAGGTAAACCAGCCTTAACTCATCCTTATTTGAATATCTTTGCAGTCAAGGTATCATTTACTTTGTCCTCTCAGGCATCAGATTCTTTGAAGTATTTTGGAACTTAGTTTCTCGTGGAAAAATATGAAATCATCTGAGATATTCAGTCATAACCTGAGCTACCCTGCTCCTTTAAGCATGAGGATGATTATTCTGCCACTTTCTCTGACTCATATGAAGTTGTATGTACAATTTCTTAAAATAAAAGTGAAATGAGACAGGGGCTGGGGGCAGTGTCTTCAGTTGTGGGAGAAGAGTGTACTGGAAAAGCCGAGGGAGAGGGGAAGCAGCATGCAAGGTGTTATTTCTTTCAAGGATTCAGTTGAAATTTCTTTGTATAATTGGTTATCATCACTGATTTAGTTGCAAGCTGACATAAGTTTAAAGGGAAGTGTTGGATTCCCTATCTTCAGGGCATTGAGATCAAGATTCTTTGTCTTTCTGAAAGTTATGCTTTTACCAAATACAAACTCTGAGATTAAATATTGGGGTAACTGAATGAGATTTCATAGATAGACGGGAAGTGTTGGAGATAGAGATTTAGTGGACTCTTCATTCAATGAGTCCGTGAGAATTCAGAACTACTCTAAAATGAGTTAACTTCTGGCATTTGAGTCATGCAGTAAGAATAGAAAACCACAGAATGAATATTTTCTTTCAATACTCATAAGGAATTCAGGTAAAATAACTAAAATGGCATCCTTAGCACTTTCCTCTGGGTCTTGCAGAACAGTTGCAAAAGCTTGCTTAACTATCTTCTTTCCTAAAGAAATGCTGCCCATATCCTTCTAATATGCTTTGTATGTTGTTGGGGTTTTTTTGTTTTTTTTTTTCAGGAGCAAACTATTAGAAAAATGGTTATGGGCCAGAAAACCTTGTGGTATAGCTTTAAAAGTAGAATGAAATGGGAGGCATTTCTGAAAATGTGGTGTGAGAGAGACTTGAACGCTTAAGTTAGTGCATTCATCCCACCTTGAGCAGACAGTGTCTGTGCAGAATGCACGCTCTTCCCAGCACACGGTAGCCAACCACACATCTGGAGCTGTCTCATTTCCAATGGTTTTCAATGGGCCATAGTTGGAAAATGATAGCAATTGGTGGGTACTGAATTTTTTTCATAGAGCTGGTGATGGGTTTTCTGAAGCCGCATTGAAGGTGCATATCAAACCCGATTGAATTGGTGGGACACTTAACATTGCAGTTTTGAAAAATCTCAGCCCATGGCAGGAACTTTGTCCCTCTTTCCTCTGATTTCTCTACTGGAGCCATCTATACACTTAGCTTTCATCTCTGTAAAGTTCTGCCTAGCAGAGGCTGTGGAGAAAACCTTCTGAAAGAACCTGCTCGGTCCTGTACGTGCTGGGTGCGACCTTGCAGCCTTACACCAGAGCTGCTCCCCTTTAGAGCAAAAGCTTGGCTGAGCAGGGGAAATGGCAGTCATCTTATCCATATTCACCTGCCTGAACTGTTTTCCTGCTTATTTCCACTGAAAATTGTTTGCTGAAGCCTGTATGATCTTGGCCTGAATCTCAGTAAATTCTGTTTGCAGATACTAATCCTACTTTTTGGTTTATTGATTGTCAGTGGTTTTTTGTTTGTTTGTTTTGTTTGTTTAAGCAATTTAAAATTCAGTAGAAGGGCAATGCACATGCTTAGGGTTGACTGCAAACGGTCTTCTGCCATATATACCCTTATGGAGAAGATGTGTAATCACTTCACATCCTGCATTTATAGTTAATACTTAGAGCATAGAAGGAAATATTAAATAGCTAATTTCCTCTTGAAGTTTCAAGTTGCACATGTCATTGCATAGAAAATGATGGTGAGCAGCTGGGAGTTAATGTGCCATATACAAATTCTTATGAGTCTGTATAATAGAGTATATACACATAGTATTAATCTTGTAAGAGTGCGCTAAAATGCTACAACACATCTTTTAATTTCACAGGAGATCTTTTTGCAAAATAAGCTTTGACTTGAATTTCTAGAGTATATGTTTCTTTTAAAAGGTCGAGCTATACACATAGAGAGTTCAAGCTTCTTGCAGGCTGAATATGGGATGAACACCAAATGTTTTAGATC